GGAGATTAACCGGCGTGTTATCTGGCGGAAGGATCTTGATCTGGTCAAATCGTTGGGCCAGTTATCCTTCATTGAACGCGGCAATAACGCAATGTTTTTATAACGGTATCTTAAGATTTATAAGATTTTATTCTGTTTAACCAATCCGCCGCGAAACAGTACATATATTCTTATTCTCAATTGCGAAATTTAATTTAATTTAATTTAATTTAATAAAATCACGCATTTGAAAATAAATCGGGCATTAGATTTCATATTCACAAATGTTCTATATTATAGACGCGATTATAAAAAGCGCTCAAAATGTTCTTCAAAACATTTTCGTTTAAATATATATTAATTATATTGTTCCTCCGATTATTCCAAGAATTACATATGTATACATTGAAATCGAGTATTACGGCTATCGTTGATTTATTTATTCGTCGCATTTTTTCGCAAACATTAAATTGTCGTTTATCTTGTGATTTAATCGTTGATTTACATCGAAGCTTCGTCTATCTTTTCTCGGATATTTTCTTTGCAACTCTACGCAAAATGCGCCAGTATAATCTAATTGTAAATACTTTTTTCTTCTTAATTGAAAAACAATCGATAATTTTATTAACGACTCTTTTGACCAGAATTGTTTGCATTATATAAAACTTAATAAGCTTTCTAATTGCATATTGATCATTAATCATAAATATCGCATTAACCATTCCTTATCAGTTATATTTTATCTAAAATTGAATATTTCAGATATTTTCGTGTAATCAATTATTTTGTATTACATTTTAAATTATATTTTATATTAATTTTTATATTATATTTTGTAATATAATTAATTTTATATCAGATATATAGAATTAATTATAATATATTTGTAATACATGTTTATATATATTTTACATGCCCATATATATAAAAGTATTTCAATTATAATTTATTATTGCTCTAGTATATACTAGAATGACAAAACATCACGTGCAGCTAATAAAACATTAATAAATCCATAATATTTCTTCGCATTTTTGATCCGCAATGTGTTTAGCACGGACATGTACCAATCGGTCGTTTTACCATGCATCAAAAAGTTTCTGACCATATAGTTCCGCCGGCTCTAAAATGAATCCAGTTAGCGCCACTGTACCAGCTAGGAAAACGGCCTCATGAAAAACGGCGGCGTGGCCCCTCCCAGGCTTCTCTTAGCTTTCATAAGAATTTTAAACCACAGGTTACACAGCTCGAAAGATGAGATCACATGAGCGTATTTTCGATTGCGTTCAATTTGGCGCTATTACTAGTGTTTGGAAGCGTTTGATTAACCAATCAGAAAAGAAGCAAAGATTTCTTTATCTCGATTGGTCAATAAACACTTCCAAGCATTTATAGCGCTAAATTGAAAGTAGTTTTCATTGAATACATCACGGTTTTTTTTTTACTTTTGCATTCAGAAAATTTGTAGCAAAAATGTTCTTCCAAAAGAACAAAAGACAATGTGTATTAACAAATATCTATTTATAATCTTTACACATCTTTAATCTTTATTCGGTAATATGTGCCCCATTTCTTTTTTCAATTTATTTCGAATAATTTCGAAATTAATCTCTAACATTTTATTTTTTTATCGGGAGAAGCAAACTTCCGTGAATACGTATTTTAAAATTTTGGTAGAGATAAAATCAAATATGCAAACAAAATAAAAAGACTATAGAATAAGAAATAAAGAATAAGAAATAAAAACGACCTTTGAAACCGAGTTCGGTTTCAAAGATCATTTTTATTTCTTATATTCTGTGTCTTTTTATTTTGGAACCGAGTTGTTTTTATGACTTGCGATATTACTCACTCGATTAGTCATTTTGAATTGTGTCATTCAAATATGAGTGGCAGATATACAATAAGTAAGAATACTGTTGTAACAATAAGCATATGCATATAATTATTATTAGTTACATACAAATGACTAACCGATAGTAGCAACATATATATAATTTGCGATATACAAAGTATATATCCTATATATATGCATGAATCTTTTTAAAATATTTTCGTGTTAAAAGAATATATTTTGTAAATCTGCTTATTAGAATAACATTTTGTATTTAGAATATATATTTGCATAAGTTTTGAGATAGATAAATGCAGTATATTTGCATAAAATTTGAGAGAGGGAGCAGAAGGGAGAAAGAAAAATACAAGACACGAAATGTATAGAAAGTGCTGTTAAAATGTATGTCAACGGCAAGTATTCCGTTTATTTGACCGATCATGTAATACTTCTTTTTAGATCTATTTTTTTCTTTATACCTCTTGCATTTTAAGCACGAGTTGTGTACCATTTCGTAACAGACCTCTCGACGTGAAAAAGGAGAAGGAAAGCAAAAGTGTAAAGAGTGCAGGAGATCTGTTGTGTTGTAACTTCTTCGTCTTCTTCTCTTTATGGCTGGTTAGGCTTCTTGCGAATTTGCCTATGTCAGTTGGTGTCGATCTGTTGTAACGCATTCTCCTTGCCCTCCTATCTCCTCTCCCCCCCCCCCTTTCTCATCTATCAGCTGTATACACTTTTACTTTGAGGCCAACTTCGAGGATCATCGGAGACTGTGACTGGAATTTGTCAGTTGATCCGCGTTCCTCGATCGTTTTAGTTCAGTATTAATCAGTATTTAGTGAAACAGTATATTAATAAAGGTGTGTGCATTCATTGTTTAGGATTTACGAATTGCAAAATTTCATTAAACACAGCGCAATATACAACGCGAAACATACACATCAGAGAAGATTCGAAAATGTTTTCCCTCGCGATTGTTGCGTAAATGTTTTGTTCGTATAGTTCAAAGTGTTAATTATATAAATATCATAGCCTTCTCAGAATATAGGTGTCCCTCTTGTTTCGTGATTAATATTATTTTCGATTCCGGGTCGCGTAATAATAATGGTATATTGGCTACCGAAGAAACGTTTTGTGAAAAGGTATTCGATCGCTTCATTAAACCTGCATGTTTTAGACGATTTTTGTATACGAATTCCTTTTCCCGTCTTTTCCTTTCCAGAAGAAAAAAGACGAAATACGTTCTCGATCGATACATAACATTACTACTATTACACAGACATTGGTTTGGTCTGACAATGAGGAACTAAACACGTTATAGCCCTAGTTCACTAATCTATATCTACATCTATATACTTATGCTGTCACTTTCACGTGCCTTAGACACTAATATTTCACATAGGAAGTGTTACACGTATATGTCGTGTGAGAGAAAATAGCAGAGAAAATTTTTTTTCTAATAATAAGTAGAATAGTGTGTCGTGTGCAATTTGTAAGATAATTTTGTCAGTTTTAAAATCTAAGGAATGTGAATTTTTTTAAATATACGAAAGTGTGAATAAAATATATAATAGAAAAAAATATATTCTATTTTATAAAAAAAATTGATAGACATTTATTGTATATTATTTCTATATCATTTCTATATCACATCAAAGGACCATTATTTGTAAATATTTATGTATAAAAGTTACATTTATCAGATCATTCTGTTATATAGAAATATTGGATATATATATATATAGAGCATTGGGAGAGATTGAAATGAAGCATTCAATGTAAGAATTTTTATCAGGAATATTATATACTTAAAAAAGGGATTATTCGATATATATATAAAATATATATACTTTTTATAAACTTTTTTATAAAATATACAAGTACTATTGTACTCTTTCATTATATTACTTTAATTATCTTATATATCTATATTTAACTTAATAATGATAGAAAAATTATTTCTTACAACAAGTCTCTGGAATTAAATTTGATCAAAGAAAGAGGACTTGCGACAAGAAAATACTATAAATACGACCAGTAATCACTAACAATCATGATGTCGAATTATCTACTATTAGCAACGATAGTGCCATTCGCCATCTATGAGATATGGTATACAGGAATGTAAGTTATATTGTTATATAACTGTGAATATCTTTATATTCATTTTTATTTGTTATATGTATTTTTATTTATTTAACTTTGTATTTATTTATATTTTTATATTTATTGATGTCACTATACATGTAATAATATAGTTTGCAAGCTTATTTAAACAAAATAATGTAAGATGTATATTTTTGTTTGTTAGATAAAATTTATGTAAACTCTAATTTTTAATGCAATTGTCTAAAATTCATCATGACACAGTGTGATATATTGTACATTATTCTTGTGACTCACAGTGGATCAATGTTAATTTATCCTTCAAAAAAAAAAAAAAAAAAAAAAAAAAAACTTTTTCATTTTTTACTTAAGAGCAGTAGGAGAAGGACTTTAGACTCCACTGTTTTTGTTATCGGTTGTTGTGTAAATTGGAGTAAGAGTGGGGTATGTAGAATTGCAGAAAATACATTCATCAAAGAAAGAGAGAGTGACTTGACTAGATAGAGTATAATTCTACGATTACATAGCACATTCCATGTTGTAATACTAATTTCTCTCTCTTACTCTCTCTCTTTCTTGCTTCCTCTCAGAGAAGGAAATATTTTGAGAAAGTTTCTTTGTTCGGATGACTGTTTGTAAGTATTTTAACAATTTGTAAAGAGATTTACATAGAATGCAATGTGTAGATTTAATCAATTTTATTAAATTTATAATTTTTAGACAAATTTTTATACATATACAAAGGTTTTTACACAAATTAAAATAGATCAAAATTAAATCCAAATAATAGTGTACAAAATATAACGATAATACAATAAAGTATAAATTTAGTCTTTGATAAGAATAAATAATAAAATATAAGTATTCATACTTTCATATATGCTTTATTACCAGTTATATGCAACTTGCTCTATGTTATCTATTCATATATATATATATATATGTATAAGAGATATCATAAAGTAGTGCAATAAAAAAAATATAGTCAGATTTTTTATAAACAGCTTTATGTCATAAACATCAAGAAGTATATGTGATTGTGTTCTGTATATTTAGTTTATGAATTGAGTGTGTACATATCTTTATCAAATTATGAATGAATAGGAATGTAAAAATAATCTGATGAACCGATGAACATAATAAGGTACAATATCAATATATGATATTTTTCGCATATATTATTTGCTACTTAAAATTTAGTTTATTTTATATTTTGTTTCTATCTTAATATGTGTATTATCTCTTACATTTAATATGTGTGTGCATTTAGAAACATTCTATATATGTGTTCACTTCCTAACAACTACTGCATGCAGCTATCTCATTAGTTTCTTGTTGTTGCTATTCTCAGTTGTGAAACTTCTAGAATTGCTGTTATTTCGTTTCTTTATTAAAATGCTAGGAAGTGTTTGAGTGTGCAATGACAAAAAATCAGTAATTATTATACATGAGTTACTCAAGAATCATCCAAAGTTCTTTCAAAATCTTTCAATCAGTTTGAAATCATCTTTTTCTGTATGAGATTATTATTTGCAATACTCTTTGCAATCATCTTTATATATTTCTGTAATAATATCAATTATATAGATAATATTATTATTTAGTAATTTGTTATATTTATTTATTATATTATTATATTCACAGTTAAAGATAGCTTGAAATTATTTGAAAAGTACATACTTTTTTATCATATATATTTGCTTTGCTTGAAATTTATTTACCAAAAAAAGCTCGTTCATTTTAAATAACTAATTATACTTAGAAGAAATGCCAAAAAATATTTATCAAAAGAAGTTTGCTTCATAATCAGCAAACAAATATACGACTAATAAAGAACTAGATGATTTTGTATGTTTGAAATTGTTTTTGCTGTATATATCCTGTTAGTGTTACTACTATACTTATGACTAGATGTATTGAAATTATAATAGATGAAAACTTTGCTAAATTATTAGATACTTATATTAATTTATGTATGTAAATATATAAACTTTGTATTACAGATGTTTAATTTGGACTATGAAGGCATCTGCACTGATATATCTCATTATATTTGGGCTTCTGCCTGTAATTTTTCATTATTCCTATAGCATTCAAAAGAAGATACTTTTCTTAAATTTTGGTAAGTATATAATTAATATTATACATCTAACCAAAAGTAATAAACAGCATTATATAAAATTAGTATAATTGCAATAACTTGAAAGCTTTTATAAATCAACTAATATATAAGGGAAAGATATGTGCAGAATAATATTTTGTCGTTTTGATTCAAATATGTTGAAATTTGATGCAAATTATGTAATATCTTATATGTTAATATGTTGTTTTAATCTTTTTCAGTGCAATGGCCACTTAATGTGGAGTTTTCCGATCCAAAATCAGTTGGAATGGAAGGTGCTAGAAATTTTTATTTACATACTGATCAACAAGTAAAAATAGGTGTATGGTGAGTGATTACAGAGATCTATGTGAAATTTTTAATCTGAGAAGATACATCATTTTCTACATCGTTGTATTATAATAACATAGTCCATATTGTTATATTAAAAGTTAGTGCATTTACAGGCAGATATTACCACGGTCTTTATTAAATAATTCCATTCCTGCAACAGATGAAGCTTACGAAGCAGTTTTAAATAATTCCACACAACCTGTGTTCCTATACATGCATGGAAACAGCGGTAATAGAGCAAGTCTGCATAGGCTCGAGCTTTATAAGCTTTTCCAAGATTTGGATTATCATGTCATATGTTTTGATTATAGAAGTAAGTGTTGGAAGTTTGGATTTACTTTTAGAACGATTTATGATCTAAAAATAAAAGTGTTCAAGTATTGCATTAAATGCATTTCCTAATTAATTTTGTCAATTTAGGCTATGGTGATAGTGATGTAGTTGAACTCTCTGAAGAGGGTGTAGTTATGGATAGCAAATATGTTCTTGAGTGGGTTTTGAAAAAAGTTAATGGTTCAGCTCCAGTTTTTGTTTGGGGTCACTCTTTGGGAACTGGGTAAGAGATATAAAAAAATTTGATTTTTCTTCATATAATTAATATAATATAATATTCCTCAGGAATAATCTGTTATATGTGTTGTCTTAAAATAAAGATTTATTTTTCATTAGAGTCTCTGCGCATGTATTAGCTCTACTGGCAACTGAAAATATACAACCAGCTGCATTGTTTCTGGAAGCGCCATTTAACAACATAGCGGATGAATTAACAGAACATCCATTTTCACAGGTATTTAAGTATTTATTTCTCAACTATAAAAGTTGCATTGTTTCTAATATAATCTTCTTTTTTATATTTTTAGTTATTCAAACATTTACCATGGTTTCATTGGTTGATTGTTGAGCCATTTTATAAGAATAATTTACGATTTGAGACTGATAAACATATTGCCAAGATTGAGTGTCCTATTATGATATTACATGCCGAAGATGATGGCGTAATTCCAATCTTTTTGGCAGAAAAGGTATATTCTACATCTACAACTTTAGATGATTGCATACAGATTGTTATGAGCCAAAAATTTTTGCTTTATATATGTTTCAGCTCTATAAAGCGGCAATAGATAGTCATGGAAATAACACAGATCAGGTTCAAATGATAAAAATAGATTCAACCTATGGACTTGGACACAAGTATATCTGTAGATACAAGGAATTACCTAGTATAATTAAGTAAGTTATTAATGTATTATTAAAGTACAAACACAATAGTTTACTTTTCTTCACGAAAATTTTACATTATTATATTTTCAGGACATTTGTCGCTAAAGCAAACAGAAATCTGACTGAATAATTTACCTAGACTAGAAAACTGGAATTGGAAATTGTCCCACTGTCCATAATTTCTTAGAGATTATTTGATTTTTATATGAACAGTTACATATTTTCATGATCAAATTTGTTCTAGAACAACCTAAGTATCTGAAGAGAACACAAACCTAAAGGAACTATAGAACGAACTAAAAGTCTTATGAATGCTTTTCTTATTTGGAAATTGTCCACTTTTTCTGTGTATATTAAAAATATATTTATCTAAAATTTGATATTTAATATTTTAGAGTATTAATGTCCAATATGTGTGTGTGGAAGATTTGCGATATCAAACAAGATTCAGTGCACTCAGTTTATTATATTCACTGTATAAAATTTATTTAAATTTATTAAATATGTAAAACTTATTTATAGATTATATTTAGTTAGTTTAAAAAAATATATATGTAATTATATGTGTGATATATGTAAGACATTAATTCTTAGAGAATTAGTGTTTAGTGTATAATGACATTTTTATATGTCATAAACAAATATATTCAAAAATATGACTCATCTGTTAACTAAATGGAAATATGTTAATACCAAATACTGTGATAACAGACACAATTTAATAGAGATTATTAATTTCATGTAATTAATTCGTATGTGACGCAGTTTATATATAAAATATTCAGCATTCTCGAAATGATGGTACTACTACTTTTTCTTTATATAATCCTCTTATTTGTAGCAACGCATAATTTTAGATGTCACATAGAAAGCGTATTATATTTATTTCCATATTGATATTAAATGTTGACATATATGTATAAAATGTGGGTGTCGCGTGCATATGCGTGTGCGAATTTGACGTATATCTAATATATATTATCTATATAATATCGATATTACATATTAATCTAAAATAATTTGCAAACAACTTTCTCGTACATCTTGCTTTATAAGTATGAATATACACTTCATTTTTATTATTTCACTTTTAATATCAATAGTATAAAAATTAAAACAAAGTAATAATAGAAAGAAGAATTCTCTCTGTTATTAATGTTTGTTATTTGCCAGTTCCGTATGTGGCATGCATCAAAATTTGAATGTTGCGCCGTAAATGACATGAAACATATAGTTGAATCTCCCTATTCTTAGTACAGTTCTGTACTTTAATATAATTTCCGTATTCTTAACAGCTTATAACAGCGCGATCAAAATTTTTATAGGTCTGTTCGTGTTGCTTGCACTTTCTACATTTCGAATTCTTTTCTGTCTCTATTTCAATGCTCGAAATATACGTTCGCCTCATTTTAAACATAGAATTTCTGGGGATTGCAAACAACACGAATCTCATTCTGTGCATACGCTATTCAAGTAGAGGGAAAATAAGTGTCGAGAATAAGGAGTTTGTCGAGTGACGTCTACTGTCGTCTGTATACATAAATGCGGATGTTATTATGTTGCGCGCGCAATAATGGCGCGTGCAGCAGACGACAGCTGATGCGTGAGATAGGAGGGGGAGTGAACGCGGAAGCATGGCAAAACGGTGAAACACGTGTCTCTCTCTCACGGTTGTCGCACGACCGTCCCGTGAAGAGGGTGATCCGGATATTCGCAATACGTTTGTCGTCGACGACTACGACGAAGAGCCGAAAGAAAGGGCCGGAAGAATATCGATCGATCGAGGGAGGGGTTGGGAGGGGCGGGGATGTCGCAGGACGCAGAGTGCTCGTTCGCCGGCTGCGCGCTTCGCAGTTTGAGTGTGTTTGAGACTTGAGGCTTGAGTGAGTAACCAGTCCGGCCTTCGCCTTCCTCGCACGAAGGTTCACTTCCGCATAATTAAGACGTCTCGTATCTCCGCTTCCCATCTCGCGGATTTAGCAGGGATAAATGACACAACGAAATCCCATATGTAGAGCACGTGGTACGATATATCACGCTCCACTTTTATTCTGTCAATTTTCTTCACGTGATTTCAGTTTCCTGTTATGCTTTTCTTGATACGTAACGAATATGATTTTATAATAGATAAAAGTTCGATTTTATATTCGATCACGAGACGGATCTCATGGAATAATCCTAAGAATTCTCGTGAGCCGTTCTCTACAAACATATTATAGTTAACTGAGATTCGCAACCGATTTTCTATTCTTGTCTAGTCTTATTCTTAACAAAAAAGAGTTGCCATTCATGTTTCTAAAAAAAAAAAAAAAAGAACGAGAAAGTAGATGTAAAGTGCTCATGGATAGATTTCTCAGTCATTATTTTGACTGATAAGGAGTGTCTGCAATTTTCAGACAAATTTTATACATATCGCGTTGAGATTAATATCTTTTGCATATAGAATTTTTTATATTAACAATTAGTGATTTCTCGATTAGTTATATTCATAAAACAACGTCGAATTTTAATAAAATTTGTAATAAATCTGCATATATTAACCGATCGATATACGAAAGTTCAAAGTTCGCCGCTTTGCACCTCATCGCGTGTCATAAAATTAAAATTTCGAGAACGCGTTGCAGGTAGACGCTTCTATCACGAAGAACTTACTTTTCACGAATTTTAGTTACATATATATTGTTAGGAGAATAGAAATATATAATATTCTTCTAATTTTTAATTTACAATATATCCTTTTTTCTTCGCAGATCTATATTGATGTTGCTTTAATTTTTACAAATTTTTGTTGAGAGACATATAATTTTATTCGAGGGAGATCGTCTGATCCTGTCAAGCATAACTTTGAATATCCGCGCCACGAAGAGAGCGTGCAACGCCATCGTTGCATGCTGCGCGATGCACTTTAGTTTGATGTCTCGACCGCTAGGCGGTTGTCACCTTGTACTGGCTGCAATTATTTGATTAAATAATTGCAAAAGTTGTATTAAAAGTTCTACGATAGATCCAAATAATTGTCACCTACGATAATCGGTATTTTAATTTATTATAAAATTCAAATATCCGAGTTTTCGGGGTTTAAAGTCATACTAATAATACGAGTTCTTCATTGTGGCGTTTCTCGATAGTGCTCGTGTACGATGCAATTCGTATATAAGGATGAATCGCAGAGAATGCTTACGGGTAGTCTGGTGCTTCCCAGGGAGAACTACGAACGCATATATGCGGCCTTTTCTCTTCGCTTTATATAACGATGTCTCTGTTCAGCATCATATCCAGTACTCACGTTCAGTTCGAAAACCACGTGCGTACAGGTTTGAAACCACAAAAAAAAAATCGGGTCGGTATTGCTTGTTTGTCATTTAAAGAACGACTGAGGAAGCGAAAATTGACTATCTATTTTGCAAAAATATTTAAAAAAATTTTGTTCCTTCCCAACATTTTTTTACAACGCAGTGAAAAGTGATGACGTTCTTATGAATTTTCTGAAATTATATCGTTTAGAAAATATTTATTTTATATATTTAAAAAATCGTTTTGCATATATAAAGATTTCGTAAATCAATTATTTCTGGGTCTATCTCTGACATACGGTCTATTTTTTTATCGAGGTATTTATTATTGAGACACGGATTGAAGACGATCTGACAGATATAAATTTTATAAAAATCCATCTAAAATTTTTCTTCTGGGTTTTTTACGATATTTGCTCGCTGCCACATGGACTAATGGGCGTATCCTAAACAAACATTGACCGAATACGTGGACGAAAAAACTCGAAAGATCCAGCTTATTTTGAGATCTGACCATGACCATAAGAGTGGTCAACGAGATTTGAGTTGAAAGTATGCATTATCTAACGCGTGAAAGGAGGGAGGAGGAAAAGGTGCGGGGAAAAGGCGAGAGGGGCAAGGCGAACTGTTGTCAAACAAGTCGCCGATGATTATCCTCGCATTCTATCGAACGAGCGTGTGTGACACATGTTCGGTATGAAATAAGATTTTTGTTTTCTCGCGATTCTGAAAACGAAATCTTATTTCGTCTCGAGTGAAAATAAGAGAAACATCGGTGAATGTCAAGTGTATCATTTACAAAACGCATCGCACGATTACCGCGCTTCTTGTTATCAGAACTGAGGAAAAAGATCCGCGATTCATGGAGCAGGAAGATATGAGCGGAAATGAGGAAGAAGATACAAGGAGCGAGCGTGGCACGCCGGAGGGCTCCTTCGAGAGTTCGAACGTGTCCCTGGAGATAGAAGAGTTGGAGACGGGAAGAGAAACGAGTATTTTCAAGTACTACTCGTATAAAAATACGGGTGAGTTTTTTAAATGCAGATAACGGTAAATCGGATTTCTGTTAATAAACTCTCAGATAGTGCGAGCTCTGATAAATGACAAAGTGCATAAACTTGAGTAAACTTGACATTAAGGTAAACTTTACATTGGTATTGATAGTATGAAAATGTATCTCGCGGTTATCATGAAAGCAGAAGTTTAAAAAATCGCTCGCTTGTGCATGCGGTCGTCAGAATTTTACTTTTGTCAGTTAAACTTTGCGAAATCAGCGATATTTAATAATATCGATAGTAATGTAAAAAAAAAAAACACCGCCTTTTACGGTTTGACTAAGGGTGCTTTCCGATTCACGCATGATGCATATAATTCATCATTTATTCTTGTTTAATTTATTCAGTGAACAACAAGGATAAATAATGCATATTATGCATGAAACGGAAAATGCCTAAAATCAGCTTGCAATGCGACTTTTGCTGCGATGATACATAATACAAAGTCGATTCTACGATGTATATTGGACTTTGGACGTGGCCGGTCCGTAATGATAATCGAATGTAGATAAGAATGACGATGTAACTTTTCTAAACCGGATTAAGGAAATTCTTGAACGTAAAGAGTTCTTCGCTTATAGAGAGAATAATTGTAAAAAATAAAATTGAGTTTCTTTAAAGATCACAAATGTAGATAAGAATGACGATGTAACTTTTCTAAACCGGATTATAAGGAAATTTTTGAACGTAAAGAGTTCTTCGCTTATAGAGAGAATAATTGTAAAAAATAAAATTGAGTTTCTTTAAAGATCACGTAATCGTCAGTACAAAAGTATATACAAGTGCCAATATTTTCACGGTCACAGATCTAGTCCTGCCAGAAATACAACGTGACACAGTACACGTGCATCGTATAATACACGCGAAATGTCTATAATGCATGTTTGTTTTAATCAAAAGCTCTAATGTGATCAGTCATCAAAGAATTATTATGTATTCGAGTTATCGAAACTTGCCCAGTGCCCACGAGGCGTAATTTCAAGCTGGTTTGTTTGTAAGTAATCATACTGGTTCGTGAATAGGCAACGAAACTTGATGTAAAGTTAGGCCAGCTGCGAGTTTGCATCACACGGAGCTGGGTGCTATATGTGGTAGCATGCGTGAAAGTGCGTGGTAAAAAGCTGATTAAGCAGACGGGACAAATAGACGTAAACTTCTTTATTCTCCGGTTTCAGATAAGATTGAGCTTGCGTGGAGAAGTAAATTAGCAACTCTGAATTTTTGATTAATTGTAGACGTCGATATTCATAGATGTATATTATGAATATTTAACGAACATTAAGACGTATAAAATTAACACACGAGCAAATATAAAATTAATTTTATAAATGTGCAGAAAAAAATATATTTTTGAAAATTTATATAAGGGAGAATATAAATATTGGATAGAGTTTTATAAAATTAATTGAGAATTTGTATTATGTACAGTATCATGTCAGATCTGTTCAGATTTCGCGAAGCTACACAGATACACACAAATTTTATCTGTATAATGAGCGATGCAAAATTCTGGGAAGTAGTTAATTGATATAATGTTGAGTAATGAATAAATTACGTGCATAATGACGAAGGCATGTGTGCGCGATTAAACCGGTTCATATGATATCGTAATAAGTGTGATTAAACCGGTTCATTTATGATATCGTAATAAGCGTGATATATATTTTGCTATACAAATGATAAGCTTTTCAGGTCATCGCAGATATTATAGAAGCTCGTTTTATCGGATTTTACGACGCACGAACAACAATTTCTTATTATTCTTATATATTATTTTTATTATTTCATAAACATATTTTGAGAAAATATATAAATATTTTGCACATTGCGATGACGCACGTAGCAGTGTAAATTCTCCCGTCAATCAATCGCGCGGGCGCACGCCGTTTTGGTACGAAATGACGTCACGATTCTCGCCATGTGGCCGGCTTTCTTCATTCAAGACGAGCCGTGCTTACGCATCTCATTGTCAGCCATGTGACAGCTTCGCGCGTTATAGCTTATTATTAGCGTGGTAAGGCGAGAGAGAAATAGACAAGGGTGAACTCTAGAAGGGTGAAAGTAATTAATTATCGATTCGCGAAGATGTTATATAAGCAAAGATGGGAATAATGAAGAGAAAGAATATTTGGACATATATTTCTGATCTGAAAATCAAACGATCATGATACAATTGCGATCGAAGATAGCTATTAATACTCGCTGTATATTTCAACAATCTTTATCGATATATAAATAAGAAACACGATGTTGAAACGTGATGTTGCGATAACGAATTTTGACTAAAGTGATGGGAGGATTTAAGGTAGCACGAGGCACGTACGAAATAAACATCCCATCCATAGCAGCGACATTGTCGTATCTGTGTAGGACATTTACACACTTTCCCAGACAAATAATTGTTAGAAAACAATATCTGTGGACTGGAAAAGATATGCGAAACACGAGTGGCTGAATCGGGAATCGAACTCGAGTTTTTCGAACCGAGTCTTTTCACGAATCCAATGGATAAAAAAGAAAGACAAAAGAATATTGCAGCGACAACAATATAAGCTTATAATATAGAATGCATAAATACAAGGTTGTCACTTATGATCCACATAAATTCCTAGTAACCGAAGTTTTATGTAACTGTACAGGATAATAACGCGCGCATTTTTTTTTTTAAGTTTCTAATAGCTTGTAAGTTATATCTTACAATTATCATATGTATATAATAGATGGCAAATTTATTCTTTTTCTACGTATTTTTTTTTTTAGGCTGCCATCAGTGGATTCTGTTTAAGCATTTTTATTGAAGAAAATTGTTTCTCTTTTTTAGACACGATGCGAAGCACAACAAGAAAAATAGGACCGCTTGTGGGCGCAATTGATGTCGGCACGCGGACTGTCCGCTTTGTGGTGAGAGAGTACTTATACTTATCGTAAAGTATAGCTTCCCCGATATAACATTATCAGCATTATAATTTCCCATGCTTTTACATATTTACTCAAGTTTAGAATTTAAATAAGAATTTTAAAACAAAAATATCGTAGTTTTTAGCGTAATAATTATGTCGAAAAACCGATTGAAAACCGTTAATGATGTGTGTATAATTAATTACAATTTTATCTCATTTCAATAAAATTTTTTCTAATAGTTTTAGTATACATGAATAGAATTTGTTTCTAAAATAATTATTTTTCTAGATAATTTGTTAAATATTTTAGGATTACTCCTAAAAATTATAGGATACATATAAAAATTTTATTATTTTAATCAGCGTTTTTTAAATTGAGATAATTTTTTATATTTATATATTTTCATAACAGATATTTTATAGAATATAAAGAAATCATGTTTCTTTTATTTAATATTGTGTACCTTAAACAATTGTCATTGTTTTAACAGTCATTACTTAAAGTGAGAATTATTTTTCTGTAGGTATTTAACGCGAAGCATGTTGCGGAGGTTGCATCTCATCAAATAGACATTGAACAAATCAGTCCACAAGAGGGATGGGTGGAGCAGGATCCCAAAAATATCTTTATGGCGGTGAAAGATTGCATTAACATCGTAAATGAAAAATTAAATATGCTGGGGATGAAGATTGACGAAATCATGACAGTGGGTGTCACCAACCAGAGAGAGACTACGGTAGTATGGGACGCATTTACCGGCGAACCACTTTATAACGCTATAGGTGGGTATAGATTTTTTCGCGTTTTGCGATAAAAATTTAACTGCGAAAAAACGTTATCTTTACCCTGAGAAAAGAAGACTTAAAAAGTCTTATATATTGGACATGTTGTGTTTTAAGGAAAATGTCTGGATTAATTATTTCATTTCATGAAAGATCTCTGAAAAAATAACCCGAAAAGATTCTGTGAGAAAATGTTTGGTTTCAGTGTGGTCCGACATCAGAACTGATACGATCATGGATCAGATTATAGCAAAATTTCCGGATCAGAGCAAGAATCATCTGAAACCTCTGTGCGGTCTTCCTGTCAGTCCGTACTTTTCCGCTTTGAAGATTCGTTGGTTGAAGGACAATCTGTCGACTGTAAGAAGGGCAATTCGTGAGAGGCGGTGCAAAATGGGAACCATGGATACCTGGATCGTTTGGGTACGTGACAAAGAGATATTATAGCGAAACATTAGTACGAATTAGCGGGTATGACTAATCTATGTTGTGCAATTGAATTATTAATTAACGGCTGCTATTTGACATTAAAGTAAAATTATCGTTAATATCAGGTGATAATTGAGTTATGCTATATATTATAAGTGTGATTCGTTATTTAACATTTGAAGTGTCGTAGACAAAATTAGTGTCTTGAAAAGTAAGTTCTTGATTATCGATTTATTCTTCGAGAATGTATCTGGCTGAAGAAACTAAAAATCTTATGATGAAAGAAATTGCGGCAGAATTAATGTTAAAATTCGTTGTAGAACTTAACAGGGGGTAAAAACGGTGGACTTTATATCACCGATGTAACGAACGCGTCGAGGACGATGTTGATGAATATAGAGACGCTCTCCTGGGATCCCACGTTATGCAGATATTTCGACATTCCTATGCAAATGCTGCCAGAAATCAGGAGCAGTTCCGAAATATACGGCAATATCTCGATTCCCCCTCTGTCTGGCATTCCCATATCCGGTGTATGTAAGATCTTGCGATAAAAATGATATAGAGATGGAGAAAATACGCGTTTCTCTATTACACATTTTCTGTTTCTATTAGATTTTAGGAAACCAACAATCAGCTTTGGTAGGACAAAATTGCCTGAAGAAGGGACAAGCGAAAAACACGTACAGAAGCGGTTGTTTCCTGCTGTGTAACACAGGACATGCTGTATGTAATATTAAAATATTTATATAAAAGATTAAAAAGATTTCATTTGACCAACACACTTATCTAACAATATTAAAATATGCCTATCGATCATATTATCTTCTTATTTTTTTCAGAGAGTATACTCGTCTCATGGATTGGTTACCACTGTCGCGTATCAGTTGGGTCCGAAGAGCCCACCTGTCTATGCGTTGGAAGGTTCAGTCGCGGTTGCAGGTGCGGCCATTAAATGGCTGCGGGACAACTTGAAGCTCATAAAAGATGTCCATGAAAGCGAACACTTGGCGCAAAGCGTATTTAGTACGGGAGACGTCTACTTTGTGCCCGCCTTCACGGGATTGTATGCACCTTATTGGAGAAAGGATGCAAGGGGGTAGGCAAAAAGTATTCGGATTATTTCCTACGTCTTTTTCTTTGTTATTCTGTAGAGAGTAAATGTATAAACATAGAAACTGAAATATATTTGAACTTTTTAGAAAATATATTTAATAGCGTTGCTTAATATATGATATATTTAAAATATTTTGTTTATTCGAAGGAATTTAATCCTGGATTAATTGTTAAAGTATATGTCTGTATACATGTGTTTAAGAAAGATGTAATCTTTTACTTCCAGAATAATTTGTGGGCTTACCGCGTTTACCACGAAGCAACATATAATCAGAGCGTCTCTTGAAGCAGTCTGTTTTCAAACTAGAGATATCCTCGAGGCGATGCACAAGGATTGCGGATTTCCGTTAACGAAGTTAAAAGCAGATGGGAAGATGTCGACCAATAATCTCCTTATGCAATTACAGGCCGACTTGTGCGGTACACCAGTATGTAAGTGTATTGGCTGTAAATCAGATAACGGGATTTATGAGCGAAGTAATACGACTATATATATAATAATATACTATTTTGATCTTTTTCATGTTTTTTTTTATTATTAATTGTACTTATATCTTGACATATGTGTGCAGTTAGGTCAACTATGCCCGACATGACAGCTCTAGGCGTAGCGATGGCCGCAGGGCATGCTGAAGGAATAGATGTGTGGAATCTGGATGGTGAGGAGGTGGAAACAGTGCCAACCGATACTTTCCTGCCGACCACTACAACAGAGGGTATAAAAGTTTTCGAATTAAAGGATTTAAATTCTTCATAACTTATTTTTCTATAAATATTCATATATAATTATGCTATTCTATATATATAATATTTTATAATTTCTATAAAAAATGAGATTATGATACAATTTTTTGTTTGTTTGTAGAGAGGGATGCGAGATATAAGAAATGGAAAATGGCAGTGGAAAGAAGCTTAGGTTGGGCGACAGTAAAAAAGTCTGACCAAATGACAGGTAAACGTAAAACTTTTATATAAGCGAGATCCCAAATATAATGATTTGAAATAAATAAATAATTTGATATAATTAAGGCTACTATGTCAACTAATAATTACATTAATAAATATGATCTTTGAGTAAAAAGTCGGATCTAATTACAGTAATGAACATTTATCAAACTCTCTTTTTTTTAGCAAGAATAATGTCTTTTTAAATCTTTAAACAAATATCAAAGTATATAAAGATGGCATGTACATTTAATATAAAGTAATAGAAAAAGTTTACACAATTGTTTTCCTCAAATCTTTCTAATGTTGTTTAATCTTATATCTTGGTATCTAGAGAATTAAGTGTACATAAATTATACAATTGTATATACATTGTATATAGCAAACTTAATATTTCAGATGAAAGATACTGCATACTAGCATCAATTCCTGCAAGCTGTTTTATATTGTCAAGCTTCATTCTGTTACGATTAAGTAACTATATGGCAAATCGGTGACAACAAATTAACATCATTGAAGTACAAGTTACTTTAGCTGGCAGGTAGCTCTGATTTCAGAAGAAAGTTAGCGAAGTGAAATTTCAAACTTGCTCAACTGACGTAAGTGAGTGATGCGTATGTCGATGAGTAATTATGAAATGATTAGATAGATAAAATTGTGTGAGTAGAGAGATACGTTCCGTAGATTTCAGTGCGCTTTATCAACGCACTATATTCGATAATCAAAAAAAATGTATCCAGTGTTCTGGTTTCCGAGTTTGCAAGTTTAGTAATACGTCAATAAAAACTGTTGTATCGTTATAATATACATATACCTATCTTGATACAATTTCATTTTATATTCTTTAAAATAATGATTTCACAGAGTTTGCGGAATACAAGTTTACTTCACACGCACATAATCATACACATTCTTTTTTATTATTTATTGTAAAAAACTCATCTATATAAAATTTTAAATTATGTATATTATATGTATTATATAATAAAGGTATCTCCTGTTTTACTCGCGATTTTATATGATGCGATTTTACATCTTTTTTCTTTTGTATTGTTAATACTATGGATAAATGTATTCAGGTTGGAGTGAGTCCTAAAGCATAATATTTATGCAATGCAATACTTACAATACACTATAGATTCAATAATTGTAAAATTTTTTCACTGTAGCAAAGCTGTACTTTTACTCGATTAAATTCATAGAACATTATCTCAAATGATTTAAAGAAAATACTTCTTTACCTAAGAGAAAAATAGAGATAATATTATTATATTGACTTCGATAATTTAGATAAAGATAAGATTTAGATTCTGTGCGTATAAAAAAAAATAAATATTGGTGCTAGTAGAAGACGGCAAGCTTATAGTGTATATTAAAGACCCCTGCAATTGCTTGCATCTCGGATCGTTTGACGTTTTTGTTTAAAAAGAAATTAATTCAAAGTAAAGTATCTTTTTTCGCAAAGTAATTTATTTCGTTGCTCACACAAATATTTTCTGCCAAAATATTTATATTTTTCCGACGAAATATAAATTTCAAATTGAGAAGTTTTAGCTAAGTAAATAAAAAAAAAAAAAGGAAAAACGCAGCCAGAGTAATCTGATTTTTCTCTCTATATGGGACAAGATTTGAATCGCGCGCCAAAGCGTCTGAAGCGCCGCGGCGGCGGATACGCGAGGTAATCGAGCGGGCTGCCCGTCGCGCGCTCTGGTTCACGCTCGGTGGCTCGGTCCTCGGTCCCGCTCGCATCACACGGTCCCGTCCTCGTCAGTATCATCGATAGTCGCCGCGAGTCGTCGTGGAGCATCCGGCTTGTGGGGGGGTCTCGTCGCGTCTTTGACCGTGGGTATGAATGTGTGTGTGTGTACGTGCGCGCGTGGCCAAGTGAGATAAATTAGGATGCGGTATCGCGCGAGGTTCCGGTGCTGCATCCCGTATCCGCGGCTTCGCGGGGACGTTGTTGTCGTGGCCGCGGCCGCGTCCCGTTGAGATTATGCTCGACGGTGTTGGCCGATCCGTCGTCGTATACTCCGAGTGCCGTATGTGTGCGTGTGTGTGCACGGGTTAACCTCAAGTATAATAACGAGGGTGTGAAATAAAATAAAAAGAAAAAAGGCGAGGAGGAGGAGGAGGAGGAGGAAGAAAAAGAAGAGAGGAAGAAGGAAGGAACGAGTGTATGTGTACGTGAGTGTGTGTGTGTGTGTGTGTGTGCGCGTGTGTGCGCGCGCGCGCGCCGCTGGGCTAGAGAACGAGGAAGAGATATTACGCACGCACGCACGGCACGCACGTACATACGTCCGTCCGTCCGTCTGTCAAGATGTCGTCGTCCGGACACAGCAGCCGCGCTCGCGCCGTCCACTCCGTCGGCTCGATCTTCCAGAAGCTGCACGGCCGTTTCGCGGACGCGATAACGCCGCCTAAGCTCTCCACCGACAAGCGTACCCTGGACAAGACCTGGAAGCTAATGGACAAGGTGGTGAAACTGTGCCAGCATCAGCGGATGAACCTCAAGAACTCGCCGCCGTTCATCCTGGATATCCTGCCGGACACGTATCAGCGGCTGCGGCTCATCTACAGCAAGTACGAGGACCGGATGCAGGTCCTGCACGGCAACGAGCACTTTTGCGTCTTCATCAATAACCTGATGCGTAAGTGCAAGCAGGCGATCAAGCTGTTCAAGGAGGGCAAGGAGAAGATGTTCGACGAGACGTCCCATTATCGTCGTAATCTCACCAAGCTCAGCCTCGTCTTCAGCCACATGCTGTCGGAGCTCAAGGCGATATTCCCCAACGGGGTCTTCGCCGGCGATCAGTTTCGCATCACCAAGGCAGACGCGGCCGAATTTTGGAGGGAGCGCTTCGGGAACAGGTACGTTTCGCTCTCCTTTACATTGTTATTCGATCGCATGAAGGATCCTTTCGCGCGGCTTCCGTCCACTCTTGCGGAAGATTCTAGCTCATTCACTTGGCGCTTATCTCGAATTCCGATTCCCGTCTCCGGGAATCGCGGGATCATTGGACGAAAAATGGCGCAAATCTTCATCGAGAAACAACGAATTTTATATTCGTAAAATATTCTTGTTTTTGTCTCCGCGGAATCCGAGATAACGCTAGATTTTTTAAATTTCAAAGAAATTTATATGTTTATTGTATGCAAATTAATGTACAGCAGACGACATATGACAATAGTATGCTGTAAGTGTAGTTGCAATACAAAAGACGAGTACTAAATATGAGAAAAATATACATACATATTCAGAGCAACATATATAAGGTGACAGATATTATGTAGCAGTTAGCAGCTTTTAAAATAGTAGATAAAAAAAGGGAAAAAAATCAAGTATGCGCGATATGTAGAGCTGTAGCAATTCGGAAAGAGATAAAAATCGAAAGATGAAGGATGACTGGAAGGGAGCAGGGAATTGAAATACTTTACTGCAGAAAATATGTGAAGGATCTTTGGAATTTTTGATATCCCGTGGTAAATTTCCGTACACGATGCTTGAGAATCTCAAAATTCTCGAAGATTATTAAACATGGAAAATGACATTTTTATCTTGACATTTTGTTAACATTGTCAAGGCAGGATAAAAAAAAAAAAATTTATTTCGCGATAAGTTTTGAAATATAATGTGCAAAAATCTTACGATTCTCAAAAGAATTATTAAAGCTTGAAAGAGTGATAATTTTTATCTTGATTTTGACATTTCGTGAATATTTTTGTGTAACATTTATATGATTCTTGGGATTGCGAAGCTGCTTGTAATTAAAGTTGAAACAAAATTTCGTTTCTTGGAAAGTTTTGCAGTCTCAGAATCTCAGAACTGGAAGATTATTCTATTTGAAAAATGATATTTTTTTTATCTCTCACAAAAACACACAGTGTTAACTTTCGTGTGATGCTCGGCTCTCAGGGTCGCCGAGTCCAAAGCTTCTACTACGTTCATTCATTCGTTTATCGAGAGAGAGAGAGAGAGAGAGAGAGAGAGAGAGAGAGAGAGAGAGAGAGGGGGGGAACTACAAGGAAAGTCCATCTGCTCTCGTAGCAACTTTACAATTGCTAAGCTATGAGAATTCTGCGGTATTAGAGGATATAGCTACTTAACGTTTTTACAAGCGTTGCGAATTTTCGGCTCCTGCCCGCCCTCTTATATTGTGTCCGAAACTTTATTATACCTTGCACCGAAGTTCAAAAAGGGGTTCATCAACTTCTACGAAAGTTTCGAAGACCAAAGAAATCTAAAGTCCTTCGAGAATTATTATGACAATAATACTTGACACTTTCGTCTAACTTTTCTAAGCTTGAAGCTTGAAGATTTAAGGATCTAGTTCTGATGCGAGTGTATATAATATACATCACAAACTAGATCTTTAAATTTTCTTTTTTTCTCTGATACGTTTTGTTTCTATCATTTTTAATATGAACACTTTATGCAACAAATTTATTAATGCGACGATGAAGACGATGACGAAACTTTCCGCGATAGATCGATCATGAGACTGGCGGTCTCTTGCATCTCGCGCCAAGTAAACAAATTCTCTAGTGAAATATTAGAGGAGAAATATCTCAAAACTGACATAAATCTTTTAAACTAATGTACTTCCGTTTTATGCAGTTATTAAATGCTGCACTTTATCAGAACCGATATATATATATATTTGATCCGTTTAGTTAGTTTACTTATGAAAAGCTTATAATCTGTACATTTATTATTCGTTTATATGCTAAATCAGCTTGCATCGAGAGTTTTTGAATATATTTTCCTGCGACACTTTTTTACATAATCTAAATAATGCAATAATGATAGACTATTTTTTTAAATATTAGATTATTTTGTGTCTATAAATTTTTAAATCTACTGCATTTATTTTCATCTTTTTTTACCACGATTTTTATCATGTCTCTGTGGTTTTGAGCAGGTATATCGGTCTTAGGGATCAATTTTCGTCCGCTTTTAAAAAAGTCTATTAGCTCAAAAGCTTAAAACTCTATTAAAATCACTATATCAAATAATACGATCTGATATGGAGTGCGAGCGGTTTCTAATAAATATTTCTACGTGAATATAAAAATTTTTATTTGAAACTTCAGTTATGGGGAAAGAGACTACGAGAGGGCTCTAGAAACAACGTGATATGTCGATTTTGATATCTTTCTTTATTATACGCTCGTTTATTATGATTTCTTTCTCTCTCCTGCAACCCTTGTTTTTTTCCCTGCACTTTCGATACGGTTCGCAGGACACTTGTCCGCCCACGTGCGAGCTTACAGATGCCCTTCGGATGAATGTACGTAAAAACAAATAATAAAAGGTGCGCGAGTACAACTCGCACGTGCACGCACCTAACCTAAAATTGTACGCACGGGGGAGAGGGGAAGGCGATGGGGGGGGGGCAG